GACGTTGACTGAGAAGGTAATTCGGGACGAAAGACTTGTTGAGAATAACAATTTTTCGATGTAGATGGATACACTGAATTTTGAGTTGGAGATGAATTTAATGGCTTAATCGGACTTTCCAATGTTTTTAAAATGTCCCTGATAGCTGCATCCATGTCGACATCGTCATTGCCAAGGTAGAAAAATGATGAAATAATTTCACCCCTATCTTCATTTCCCAAACTGTACTTGTTTTGTTCTGAAACCATTTCATCCCTACGTTTGGATATCGATTGGCGTCACACTTTTGACTTTGGCGGTAATTTTGTCGCTGTATTTAAACCTAAAAAATGGTCGTATAACATTTCCCGTACTGATATTCTTCTTGGGTTCGGTGTTCGAGGAGGGTTATCCGATACCTGGAAACCTTCAGGATTTAAAAATATTTCGAATGCTGACCTGGCACTGGTGTCTGTTTGCCGTTGTTCTGACAAACTGCTATACTGGCGGGGCGATTGATATTCTAAACTCAAAACTAGGTCAAATAACGCCTACCACATTTCAGGATTTAGTCTGTTCGCAGGAAACCTTACCCAGCGAGGCGGGTAGAATTAAATTAATTCGAAACGCGTTCGGATGGCCGGACGACCAGAAGTTTGACACGAATTGCTTCAGTTTGTACTCCCTGTCGCTCACGTACGACATTGATTATCAGAAAATGGACCAGTACATGTTCTTTCATTCAGTATTAACCAATTTAATATATCGGACCGTAATCCCGCCAGATTTGACTCAGGCGCTGTACACTTTTATTAATTTTAAACAGATATTTCCCTAAATTGGGGAATGGTGGGCACAATCTACGACGAGCCTATCATAAAAAGATACAAACTGCCATAGAAAAAGATTTACTGACTTGTGGAAAAAACGTTTTTATTGAAAAATCTAAAAAATTGATTCCTTATCGAGACAAGTTGAACAAATTGATGAAATCTGAAAAGTTAAAGATAAGCAGAGATAAAATATTGGAGGCTTCGTACCTCTGGAAATTCGATGTCCCGAAAGAGTTCAATGTACCCAGAAAATTTGTGCAATTATTGGAATCCGGAATTTATGAGGAGATGGATCAGCTGATTTTGCGATATGGTAGAAAGGATGACCATTTTTCGAGTAGAGGCAATTCTCTGGGGAAAACTGAAATAAACGATTTGAACGGACCACCGTTAAAGTTGGAGAGCAGTATTCAGACCGTGTTTTATATCGTGCTAATTCTACTGGGATTGTCGTTTGCTACATTTCTTCTAGAGGAGACCATTCGATATGGTGGCCTTGGCGTGGTGAAAGTGTATAAAATCTTGGAGAACGTTTGTACTAATTATTCAACGCACTAGTTCAGAAGTCACCGCTTACATGGGGATTCAAATTTTGTAAAAATAAATTTTTAAGGGCAACCAACCCGTAAACTTTTAATGCTAAGTTGATGGCACAATTCAATTTTACTTTGTTTGTGTTTGGAATTAATTTACAATTAATCACCGACAATTGAACCTTTTTTCAAGGTACGCTAGGATTTTACACTAAGGTGAGTTAATAAAAAAATCGATCGAAAAATTAGGAATCACGTGACACACGTATTTCCGGGGAATGGCCCCTTTGGAAAAAAATATTGTAGGAAAAGTTCAATTTTTGAGCAAATTTTCCTCCAAAAAATTTGGGCAGACTTGTGAACTTTGATAGTCGAGCGTTACTAAATTTTGGGAATATTGATTCCGAAAGGTGGTAGCAGATATGGAAGATTTTATTACCGGATTTTTGAGTGCAATTACATCAGTCGGGTAATTTTGATCTAACTAATCTAATATTGATTATGACTCATAAAAAACAATTACATATTTAATTTCAAATATTTGTAAAAATAAAAAAATGCATAAGATTTAATAAATCACAAAAACTTTGCAAAATGTGGCGGAGTTTTTGATAATTTGTTAAAAAAAAGTCATAAGGTGAACCGAAATGTTGGAAAATATTAAATATAGATGTTTTATTTTAACTTTTTGCTTCGAATGAATTACATATTTATTACATAATTTATAATAAGAACGTCTCATTAATAAAGAAATGATACAAATGAAATTTCGCTAATCGTACATTGATTTATTTTAATTAGTCAGACCGACAGAGTATTCAAATTTTCTTGATGCAAAGACTCCAAACTGTCGTGTTGTAATTGATCGCCAACCTGCATCCAAAATAAAATAAATAAAACGCCATGAAGGGCTATCCACACATTAGGTCAACAAAAAATTCTCGATTTTAGCACCCACCCACCCAACAGGGTATACGGAATTTTAAGGGGAACGAACTATTGAGAAGGGAATTTTTTTTTCTAAAATCTGCAGATATGAATTTTTCGAATTAAAGATATAGACTTCTATTTATGTAATAACATTTAAATTTCATTAAATATTATTCGCGAAATATCAATTGTAAGCTCTCCATAAGCAGGGCTTTTCCGGGTCTCTGGACAGCCTATGCTTTACAATACATGATAAAGCCACTTTTGAAATTAGCCTGGTAGTGATTTTTTTCTTAAAGAAAATGGAAAAATAAGACATTTTTGTTCTTTCATATTTTTCGAAAAAGTGACCCTGTGACCTGTTAAAGAACATTGAAATTTTGCTATTTTACGTATACACCCATGTTAAATAGGAATATTTGAATGTTTTTTAACACATCACACGATCACTTTCTCGAAAAATGTGAAAGAACAAAAATGTCGAATTTTTTGATTTTCTTTAAGAAAAAAATCACTACCAGGCTAATTTCAAAAGTGGCTTTAGCATGTATTGTAAAGCATAGGGTGTCCAGAGATCCGGGGAAACCCTGTCCATAATGAAACATGACACATGGGGTGGAATGAGACGCGTGGGAATGACCCACCCAGGGTTGCCTTAATTTGTCATAAGGGTTTAAATGGAAGTTGGTGCGAACCAGGTGGTTAACCGCGAAATTTTATAGCAAAAAAAACAAGAGTATGCATAAATTCGTAAAAATTTTTACATCAAGTTTCAGCTTCCCAAGTTCCTGGTCTGCTTTTGTCCTCGCAGCACTGCTTAAAATTGGTGATGGTGTCATCGTCCGGCGTTTCGCAGTACGGTTTCGCTCGATAGTTGTAACAGTAAAGGTTCAGATCTTGCTTGCAAGCATTCGTAGCCCTGTCATCCCAAATGTTTCCGCCAATGGGGGCCTTATTGCAGCGCATAATCTTCATCCCCTCCACCGTGGAACAGCTCCACGCCACCAAAACCACGACAAGAATGAGGGACAAGTTCATTCTGAAAGTGAAAAATTGACATGTTTAGCAAGACTACAGAATTTTGCGGCCATGTTTTTTGCACAACCCCTGAAATTTATTTTATTTCGTGATGTTGAGTTATGCACAAAGTTATTTTATGTTAAGTGGTAATTATGCCATAAGGGAATTATGCAAAAATGTTTTATGCAATTTCACATAATTATATTTTGAGATTGTAAACAAAATCAAATATTGGAAATCTCCGTCGCCACCCAACATTTCACTTTACCACAAAAATTTCAAATCTGCCGCCAGAAATTAATCAGAATTACGATTCTACAACAAAATCAGTCAGGCAATTAATTTGTTTTGTTTTGACATAAATTCAAAACCCAATTGTGCATTTACAAATTGAAGACAGTCAGAAAAAATTACGAGAAGACAAATTAAATATTTTCTCATAAAATGTTTGAATTTTAGCTGCCAGTATTTTACGTATTAACGGAAAATTACTTACCTGATTTCAACCGAATGACACGCAAATGAAACAAAATGTTTATAACTCCTGTACATAAGTTGTTGCAGAATGAGACGATTGGCTTCAAATCCGAATGGACTACTGGACGGTTTTTGGTGATTTTTGGATTTTTATACTCTCTTTCTGCAGGCTGAATGGGTGGAAAGTTTTTTTAGGCATGGTCATGAAAATCCTTTGGATTGGGAATTTGCCTTCAGGAAAATATAAGCAGCACCGTGACCCACATACAACTTCGAACCGTGTGTTCGTTCGTCACAAATTATTTGGAGTTCATTTTATTCCACTTTTTAACCTCATACTCCTGCCGGCAAAGTATCCAATTGGTCTTGTCCGCAAAAACCATCCCCGCTTTGAGCTGGACATGGCGGGAGGCGTCGTTGTACACCATGCACTCTGCCCTCGGAAAAAATGTGTAAAATTCTCTATGGTGTGTGGTTTGTAGTGTGCGTCCAACAATTATAAAACCAAGTGAATTTTGTCTATTTGGCTGCTCCTATCAGGTCGAATGAATGATATTCTATATGTCTCTGGAGAATTATCACCTTACATGAAAAGCCTTAGATCGCTGTCAATAATTGCACTGAATTTGGGGACAATTATAGTATGAATAATTATGTATTGTACATAGTATGTGAATAAAAGCAAAATGCGCAAATGACATGAAAACGTGAAATGTGTATGTGTCTGAAAAAGTATGGAGACGACAGGTTTATTGATGTACTAACAAAGTTAATTTTATTTAATTAACCAACTTTTAATAAAAATAAATGTACCAACTTTGATTGTAGGTATATGACGTGCAATCTCTTGTATACTTCTCCAGTAAAGCATTAGCACAAGTTCGCTCGCCATTAACCTTAAATGGGTACTGATCAAACCATGCACAGATAAGAAGTGTATGTCCATATATTTCTTCATAATTGCTGTGATTATGTCATTCAAAGAAATGGTTCACAGTTAGTTTTATATCCAAGACGAACATTGTAAAAATCGAATAAGTTTTTTTTTATGATAAAGAAATATAAATACAAACGAAAAGGCATATGAAATATATTGCAAGAGATGAAATCCAAGTTCAATTATATTCTTGATTTTATCTTGAGGCAATCCGAGACCGATTGAATCTTTTATCTATTCAATCTCATTTTATTTCAATTTCCATCAGTGGAAGTTTTATAACGTGTCGGAATAAGATTTACAGGTAATTTAAATTGTTATGGCTGTATTTTGGTAGTTGTCATCGCTTCAAACTTTCACTAATTGTCCATTTACGCCGTTTTACCCTGAAGCAAAGGTTGCGCAATTGTTGATCGGATCCACTCAGCGAAGAAACTGGTTTCTGTGTAAACTCCAGGATACCCTGCCCACGCACAGCCGTTTCCCCATGACACAATTCCACAAAGGGCATTGTCCGCGCCGCACATCAGGGGACCACCGGAATCTTTGAAAGTTTCAAAAGCAGAATTTTAAACTTTATTACTAAATAAACCCCAATTTTTAAAAAATACTTATCAAAGCAAAAAAATTCTATTCAGGGGCAAGTCTTAATCCCAAAATGAACCATATGGCGCACACCAATTTTAGAATCTGTTCTTACCAGCCTGGCACGAGTCTTTTCCTTCCTCGCCTAAACAAAATTAATAATTACATGGCATATTATTGTAATTATCTTAATATATCCTTCAATTCGTAACTATACGATCATTACCGTAACAAACCATACTGTCGGAAATTTCGCCCGGATACGAGGTTAGACAAGATGCTTCCGAAACGAAGGGAACATCCACCTTCATCAATACGTCCGGAGAGCTACCTCCGCTGGACAAAACACCCCACCCAGCAACGGTTGCAACGGCTAGAAAAATTATATAGATTTACTAATTTGTAAGGATGACCCACGACCATTTGAGATAATTCAAACCGTACCGGTTGGGACAAAGTTAAGCTGTGGGATTACCACGGGTTGGACAAACTCATTGAATACGAATGGGGGGTCCACCTTGAGTAGGGAAATGTCATTGGAAAATCGGAGGGGTCTGAAAGTAAAGAAATTTCCAGTAACTTTTTTAAAATCTCCCTTAGGTGGGACTTCATATTTACGCTGGATATTTTAATCTTGTAATGGATGTAATTAATGGATGTCTTCCAAACCATGTTCTCGATTGAAACTAATTTTCTGAAAATCTGAGAGCATACGCTAAGAGTCGTCCCTTCTTCAACGCACCTCCCATAACCTGGATGGTTTACGATCGTCACAACTTGTCTCAGTTGTTCGCTACCTTCTCCAAAAGTTAGGTTGTGTTCCCCCGCCACTAACGAGTACATGGACGCACCCCCGGGATTTTGCGTGCAATGAGCCGCCGTCACGACCCAATCGGGCGACACAATGGATCCACCACAATCGTGGACGCTGTTCGTCCGGCCGATTCGCAGGTCCACGATGAAGGGAAATTCGTTTCGATCGGCTTCCACACCTCCAACGATCAGGCGACGGTCAGGAACATCGAGGTCGGATGGTTTAACCATCCCTGAATAAAAATACAAAGAGCCAGTGGTAAAATCGCTTAGTTTTTCAAAATAATCTTACAACCTTTTACAAAATAAAGACATACGAAATTTTAGTAAAGCTTACAAAATTTGCGAATTTTACCCGAGATTACTATCAATTTGTTAAATAATTTTTGCATTCTGCGAAATAAAAAATAATACTTACCCAAAGCCACAGCTACGCACCAAACCATCAGGACGATTAAAAGCTTCATTTTTAATTTTCAATATTTTTTAAACTACTTTGGATGAACGAAGGCAAGATATGTGTGTGTTTGAGTGATACTTTTTGAGAGAAATCATTTCGCTTTTATACCTTATCGTACTGTAAAATAATCTGACCTTAAATTTTTCCTGATACTTAAACTTAGCAACCGTCTTTCCCATGGTAACGAATAAATAAATCCTTCTCGAAGAAGAAATTCCATACAAAATAAAATTCCCAAAATACGAAGTGGGTAAATAAGAGTGATAACGTATACGTACTTTAATTAACTATTTATCATCTGGACCAGTTCCAGATAATGGAGCCCCCAAACTGATCTGTAAACGAACGTAACGATGGGAAACTTTATCCTGATTATGTCAGGATAATGCATTATCCTGAACTTGCCCAGACCGCAATGTCCAATCCATTATAATGGAGCCCCAGAGTTAAGTAATTGAAAACCTTGGGAAGTTTTGCGCCAATTATGGATTGGATATTGCAGAGTTTTGCCAAATTACCCAACGGAGATGAGCACAACACGGCTTATCCGTATTCATTACGCTGGCTGGGTCCGTCTGATAAGGTACGAATGAGATAAGCGAGGACGAGTGGTGGAATTTAACGCTACTAAATGCTCAAAGATTATGAAAATGAAATAAAATTTCCCAATTTGTCTGTACATATTTTTTTACACTTTGGACTAATTCATTTCGCAGAAGTTGTAAACTCTTTACAAAATTGCAAATTTTCTTGATAATTTTCGATCCAAAATTTATCTCGTGGTGATGAAATAAGTAAAGTCATTTCTGTCATAACTTTACATATTTACGTAAACGAATCTGCAAGAAAGGGTCTAATTAAAAAACACTCATGGTAATCGTGATAGGCAGCTAAGAGTAATTTTTCGAGTCCTTTCTAATTGTCATCAATATTAGTTAGTCATCATATTTCCCGTTCTATACCCTGGGCCCTTACGAGGGGTCTCCAGGCGGGCATTTTCCCCAAGGCTGGACCCCGGAGGGTGCCGGGCCTTCGCGGCACCCCAAAAATTACATAAAATGTGATTTTGAGCATCCTGACAAAGTTTGCATAAACTAGAAGATACCGTTATCAGTATTTAATATCAGTATTTAGATATCAGTATATAATTTGTTACTATTGCATGTAATCGCTATGCTGTATGATATTTAACTTTGTTATTCGAATCAACTAAAGGAAGTCACAACAAGAAATTCACGAGGTTCGTAACTGAAAAATACTCAAAGCTCAAGGATTTGTCTAAATTATTTACTTTCTTGCAAACCCAGCAACGTATTCTCTTTAATTTTAACACCTGCAATTTTAGATGTATTTTCTACAGAATTGTAAAAGATTCAAAAAAGCTAAAACTTAACAATATGAACTGAATTTTTGCTCTCAACACTTGACTGGATAGATTTTGAATCTCTTTAACAGTCCCCTTTAAACCATAGTCCAAAATAAATATAATTTTGACTTCTTGTGCGTCAAGATTCATGTTAACATTTTGAATTCATTTTCCTCGTTTATTTTCCACCAGTGGTACAGAATCATGCTAAAAGTATGTGTTAAACAATTACGGGGCGAGCTGCTTCTAACGTAATAACCGTCTAATTTTGGTTTGATTGGGTTTAAGTTTTATAGGTACCACTGGATAAATGACTTTGCATGCTAACCTGAGTTTTATTAGCTACTCCGCGTAGCATGGGAGCAATTGAATTATTCTTATTCGTCTGTCTATTAACGAGTGTTTTGCATCAAATGATGCAAATTAAAACTTCAAAAACACTATTCCTCACCACCGATTTCAGTTGATGCAGAAAAATGTTTTTACTGTAAATTCAAATTTCCTCCAAAAGTTTGGAGATTTGTCAAGAAGATGCATGAATATACTCTTAATCATAATTAGTACCTATGCATAGCATCTGATTGTCTATTTTTCATCTCTCAACGATTTTAATGTATGATAGCTTAAAATTTGCGTAATTTTGTGTACATTAAGAATCCGTAATAAAATTGGGGTGGCCCAAAGACAGTTTTCGAGATAAAAGCCAATATGTCAGTCTAGGAGTTAGCTGCGGATTCACGGTATCAGGATAGGAAAAGCTGTGATTTCACAGCTCGGAAAAAAATAATTTCCAGAGCTGAAAATTTCACTTCAGAACAGTCAGTTAGCACGGTTGACTGCCCTTGAATGGTTATCCAGCAATAAGTAAGTTATGTTATAGTACAAATTCGCACATGTACTAAACTTTTGTCAATTTTGTGATAAGATTTAAAAAATCGTCGTCATTTTAAGATCCGACCACTCCCCTTTCGAGTGGGGGTGATCAAACGCACAAATTCATATTTTGACGGATTTACATGTCAAATTGGGAGAAAATTTCGAAAATCGTCACCATTTTAACTTTTTAAGTCGGAAGGAGTACATTTGTCGTTTTCTTTGAAATGGTTTTAACTAGGGAGGAAGACAAAAAGTCATTGTGCGGGAGAAAGTCATTTCCAGAATGTAATTGATATTCACGATTTTCTCTCCGCGGCTTAAAATCTGTCATTTTGAGGGGTTTCTCCTATGTCAACCAAATGTTAAATTTGAACATTTTCTTGTCGAGAAACGGGATATTTTCCAATGTAACGCAATTGTTAAATTTTGGATCTTGCGAGTCGTATTAAACCTGCTGAATTTCGCCTCTCGCACCATGACCACAACCTACCTGTATCGTCCCCGAGTTAATGCATTTTCTTCTAGTTAATGATACTCCTTAAAGGGTTTAGATCCGACCACAATCTCACTTTGCCTCCCAAGCCTGATGAAAGGGTTAACCCTTTCATCAGGCTTGGGAGCCTTGGCTCCCATTTTTGTTTGGTTATATATATGGCATGGGAGCCTTGGCTCCCAGAAAATTCAGATAATATTCCCTGGAACGGGAGCTTTAGCTCCCAGAAATATAGAATACGTTGTCATGGTGTGGGAGCTAAAGCTCCCGTAAAAATTTCATAATATTTGATGGGATGGGAGCTGGGGCTCCCACACAAAAAAAAATTCCCTCAAGCCCAAAAACTTGCTTAAACTATAGTTTGGTTGTAAAATCTATTTTTTTGTTAAAAACCTACAGTGCAGACTTCATCTAGCCCGAGTCAAAATTACTGACTCAGAAATGAGTCGCTTCAACTTTTTGTCCACACTACTCTATTAAGCGTAGTCACCGACGTGGGGATGATCGAACATTATATTCTTTTAAAGATTTTCTATTACGAATTTTCCAAGTATTTTCAAATCTTCTTGCACATCATGAGTCATGATGTTAAACAAGCGACCCAGACTTGTCATGATTCGTGTCAAGTGGGGCTCGGTTGTTTAAAATTTTCCACATCCTAAAATTTTCTACATCCTATTAGTTACACAAAAGTCATTTTTAGCCTCTACACGAAATTTTAGCTCAAATTCACCCTATAGGGCCACGCTGGTTACTTTTAGCTTTTTATTCCTTCACGAGGAACAGTTTACGTATCGCCGTACCGTATTTCAGCTTGGTGTAACAATTTCTTGAAATCGGTATGGGTCACCCCATAGGGTGAATTGAAATAATTTTCCTCTGTTAGAAGCCATTAGCCACCTCTGTACCAAATTTCAGCTTTCTACAACAATTTTCAAATTTTGGTGCATAATACCCCACCCACTCAGGTGACTCCACCGGCCAATCACTTGACCGACCTCGTCCAACTTCGAAACTTACCTCCTTATTTGCCCCATACTACATGTGTACCAAATTTCAAGTCGGTAGGATAAGCTTAGGAGGGGAGCTTGCGAGGTTGATAATAACAGATCGGCTTGAAATTTTTACCATTGATAGTTCGGCCTGAGTGAACCTTAACCCTAGAAGGTTTTGACTCCATGGCCATAAACGGCTGAGAAAAAAATTTCGAAAGTTTCAAATTATTTGCTCAGAGTTGGCACTTCTATATGAGCTCTAACTAGTTCTATGGTGGTGGATGGCATCTATAATACATTTCTACAGCGGATCAATATTTTTGATACCTGCTGCTTGGCATCGACGTCTAATTTATGGGGTGGATAAATTCGATCATGGGGTCAATGTGACCACCCCCCTTAGAGCCAGGGGGTGTGGTCAAATACTTTTTTGGGGTTAAATTTTTTCTCTGCACATAGATTCCAACCCATTGTGACAAGAATCGTTAAAAGCATTATGTGACCTAATTTCCACACCCCCTCCACTCAGAGGGTGTGGTTATATCGAAAAAAGAAAATCATGACAACTTTTGAACTGATTAATACTTTACAATTCTGCTTTCACCATACGCCACCATAAATTAGTACTGAGTGAGCGCCACACCCTCTCGTAGTCAGGGGGTGTGGTGGGGGGCAAATTGAGATTTTACCAATCTTGCTGAGAGGCTTGTTGGCCGATCTTGCAATGCTTAACAACATTGCAAATTTGAAATCGGATTACTTTTTGAATTGTTGACCGATTTTCAAAATTAGGCCTGTTTTGGAAACCACAGGTCAAACGACGAAATATATATTCCCAGATTTTTAAAATTCCACCACACCCCTTTACAATTAAAGTCACCCATAAACACCTAAAATAGAAATACTTCCTGCAGCGGAATTTTAAGGACAAAAATGGAATCGCTTGTCGAAAACATACCCCGACGCACAATTCACATTTAAAATTCAAGTGGTCACATGCCCACCCCCAGTGGGTGTGGCTCTGGGCGCCTTTTCGATTTCACCCAAAACATGGGATGTGACATATCATTTTTCTCAGCTCGACGAGGAGGTTCGACAGAGTAAGTAAAATTTCGAAACCACACCCTCAGTGGGTGTGGCCATAGGCTTTTTATCGGTTTAATCGAAGCCCCGTCATGTGATACATCATTTTTCTCAGCCGGATGAGGGGATCTCGGCGGAATTACAAAAATTAGAAGCCACGCCCACTGGGGGAGTTGCCATGGGCGTCTTTTCGA